GATAAAGAACAACTGGATAAAATTCTATTGGGACCGGAAGAGAAATTCAAATCAAAAATATATAATTATTTGCTAAGAGTTAAAATGGAAGAATAGTTAAAGGGCCTATAATAGCTTGAGCAAGGAATTTTGGGTATAATATCGAACTAGAAGAATGGGAAAAAACTATGGACAAAAGTTATAAAGTAACAATGTCCACTGCCTACAAGGAGAACCTCTACAAAATGTTTTATCATTGGCGGGGACTTCTGGTTCGGGCTTCTTCGGTGATGCACCAAAATCCGCGATCGTGCGTGGTTTTGATCTGTGCTTGCCGCTGGAGCTCCCTGAGCTGCCCAGATTTGGGACTGAAGCCACCCCATAGAGGTGGTGAAGAAGGGGGAGCCATCAGCAGGGTTGAGGAGAGCTGCATCTCTCCTCCTCAGCTGGCCATTACTCCTTTTTCCAAAGGTGGATGCAGCGGTGGTCAGAAATGGCCACCTCAAAGAAGAACCCGACTGGACAAGATTGTGCAGGAGGAAGTTTAAAGGAGAAAGTTTGACTGACCGGGTTGAATGGAGAACATCTATTTAAGGTACCTGGAACCTGAATTTTAAAGACTAATACTGTTCCTTAAAAAGATCTTAAACGGTAAAAGAAAAAGAGAAAGGAAATGGAATTGGCTTTTTTCCCTCTCATATTGACAGTTTTAATTGACTTGGAACATTAAGAAGAAGAGATTTGAATAAGAAATTGATACTAATCCACTTTGACATTAATAGGCTATTTCTAGCTGAAAATAAAGTGTCAAAGGGATAAAGATTCTTGGATAATTTAAAAATATTCTTAAAAAAAGAAAGAAAGCAGAGGAGGGAAAAAGGAAACAAGAGGGTGGAATCTGGAAAATGGATGAGACCACCTGGAACTTAAAAAAATCGATAGTGGAATTTTAACAAGGCTTGCAAAAGATACATTGTAGCTGAAACTTTGTTACAAGATAATAAAGAAAGAGAAAGGAAAGAGAAAGTGAGAAAAGAAGCAAGAAACAGTTTTGGATTATTGGATGATTCCTGGAATTTTGGATGGTGAATCCTAATGAAACAAAATAAAATCAATAGGGGGTTGTTTAAATTTTTTTTAAATGGCATCACTCCTTGAAGAGTTAAAATGAGACTTAAAGAACAAAAAGAAGAAGCACAAATAGAAGAGGATCTTTTGGCTTCATATTTCAATTTTTAGAAATGGAGATTTTGAACTATGAAAAACAACAAGAAATGCTGGCAGAACAAGAAGGGCAGGATAAAGAAGAAGCCATCTTTAATGACCAAGCAACTTTAAGTGGGGTAAAAAAAGGGAAAGGGGGGGAAAGGGAGTTAAAAACTTAAGCATTGAAGCAACAACAAAAAAAAGAGTAATTTGAAAAGCAATCATAATATCAGGAAGAAGCAAAAGAGAGAATCATGGAAGGGAGAATCAGATAGAAAAGGAAATAAAAAGGGGAGGGAGAAGAAGAGAGGGAAGAGGGAAAGGAAAAGAAGCTACGAAGAACAGAAACAAGATATAAAGGTACAGGAAAAGCGTACAAGAATTAAAGGTATAAACCTATTTAAAAGACACAGAGACAATGGTTAATATTTTAACTTAAGGATAAGATTCTGCAAGGGTGCATGGGATAGCATTGTTATATTAGAAATAGAAAACGGTTAGAAAATATGTTTAGATGATTAAAGTGATAGAAAAAAATTGTATTGATGTGTAATGGAATATTTGTTTGTAAAGAGAATAAGGCTCTCAATGATTTAAAAAGAAAGTTAAAAAAAACTGAAAAGAAACAGAAGATTTTTATCAGTTGACAAGATGAATTTGAATAAGAATAATAATTTTATTGACAACTGTTAATAACTATTGTTTTGTTTTTTATTTAAAGACAGTAATAACTAAAATATGAAATATAGATGATTAAAGTGAAAGACAACTGATATTACTAGGTAATGTTTGTTAAAAGAAATAGAAATGTAAAAGATTGTTATTAATATTAATGGCAGAGCTGTACTTGAATACAATAATTATTCCATTTACTATTGTTATACATATATACACAGATAGATATACATAATATACTTTTTTCTATTAAGAATTGTGTGTATTTTTAAGGAAATGTACCAAGCAGAATTCGATTGAAAATAGGTATGTGTTATAAAATAGAGGTCAAAAAATTATTGTTATAACTGTAAAGGTGTAACTTAAATTTTTAAACAAGATTTGAAAAAAGATACAAAGGCGTTACACTCCAGTCTAGTAATTACAGGGGGAAATTTTTTTTATGAGAAAAGATAATATGAAATTGTAAACAGAACAGACGAAAGTATAAAAACATTGATTAGAAAGGTTTTAAAAATTAGAAAAAGATATGTAATTGAATTAAGAAAGGAATGAGATAATTTAAAATAAGGCTATAGGAAGTGAAGAAAGGGAAAGGCTATTGAAAAAATTGTGAAAATAGTTATAAGATATGGATTAGAATGTATAAGATAAATACGTATTGAGTTTATGTCTGTATGGAGAAGTGATAACCCAGGGTCACGCTTTTCTCAAAAAAAGATATTTTATTTGTATTTCTATGTTTTGTGAAAACTTAAAACTTTTATTTAAAAAAAATGTTTTATCATTGGCATTTATCACCAGTGAGACTGGCAAAGATGTACCCAAATATGAGTCCAGAGTGTTGGAAATGTAAACAAAAACAGGGTACTTTTTTTCATGTGTGGTGGTCATGCCCCAAAACTAGGATATATTGGGTAATGATAAAAAAAGGGTTACAGGAAATAAGTCTTCAAATTGAGCATAAACGTGAACTTTTCTTATTAGGAATAATAAGAGGAGAATTCAGTAAAAAAATTAAATATATTGCATATAGTGACAGCAGCTAGAATTGCCTTTGTACAAAGTTGAAAATTGGACAGCACCCCTTCCAAGGAAATGGTAATAAAAAAAATATTGGACCATGCAGAGATGGATAAGCTTACTTTAGAATTGAAAGACAGAGAAGAATCGAAATATTACGCGGTCTGGGACAAATGGTATAGTTGGTTAGATAGTAGAAATAAGGATTAAATGTATATATCCATGTAGATGTACATGTAATATCGATGTCACAGTTTTGTAAAGAATGTAAAAGAGATTTATAATTTTGAAAAAGTGCAATAATAATAATAATAAAAATAAAAAGGCGTCTCTAGCCAACAAGCGTGAATGCAAGATGTCATCAAGTGTTGGCATTAAGTAGTGTGACCGTTTCAAGGCCATGTTCAAAAACTTGGGATCAATACAAATTCTAATCTTCTCCGGCCTCATAATAACAAGCATGTTGCTTATCCAATTGGTGGGCTCAGATACTGAAGTAATATGCCCTTCCGCCTCACATTTATCCAGTTGTGCTTTAACCTGCAGCTTGATAACTATAGGGACATTACGTGGAGCACTTTTACTGGAAAGATGGTGGGGTCAAGTTCAAAATGCACCTCTCCTCACCACAGTAAACAGGAAGAGATGGTTCACATGATGGTTCCCCTTTCCAATCTGCATCACAATCCATAATCAGGGGACAGGCTAAGCAAAGGAGAAGCATGGATGGAAGGGAGGGGATGACTCAAAAGTTGAAGGATGAGCTGCCGGTTGACTCATGGTACAAGGATAACCCGGGAATAAAAAGTAAAGGTAAAGGTTCCCCTTACACATATGTGCTAGTCATTTCCTGGCTCTAGGGGGCGGGTGCTCATCTCCATTACAAAGCCGAAGAGCCAGTGCTGTCTGAAGACATCTCCATGGTCATGTGACCAGCATGACTAAACGCCAAACGACGTGCATGGAACGCTGTTACCTTCCCACCAAAGTGGTCCCTATTTTTCTACTTGCATTTTTACATGCTTTCGAACTTCTAGATTGGCAGAAGCTGGGACAAGTAACGGGAGCTCGCTCAATTACAGGTGCTAGGGATTCAAACTGCTGAACTGCTGACCTTTCTGATCGACAAGCTCAGCATCTTAGCCATTGAGCCACCGCGTCCCTAGAAACCTGGGAACCCTCAAAGATGGACTAGCCTGGAAGGGTTCTAAATTCTATGTGCCCAACAGCTTGCCGCTCCAAAAGAGCTATGATTCCAACCAGGCCAGCCACTTTGGCTATTTAAAAACCCTGCACCTGGCCAGAAGGCAGTTTTGGTGGCCAACAGTGAAGGACATTTAGGATTATGTCAAAAGCACTGCCACAAAGAGGCTGGGAACCCCCTCCCGGGTTGCTCTAGCAAGTGTCTGATCTGTTCTGACCCCAGGAAGAAATAGCCATGGATTTCATTGTTGAGGTCCCTGATAGTGGGCAGTTATGGTCATTTGGACTGTCATAATTGGTTTCCAAACAAGCCCATTTTATAGCTTGCCCAGGGCTCCCGTCAGCATAGAAGCTGGCTAACCTGTATATAAAGCATATATATAGATTGCATGGGGTTCCCCGCAGGATCATTTCCTAAAGGGGGTCCAGTTCACTGCTAAGTTCTGGAGGAAGTTCATGAGGTCCATCGGGTCCTTGCAGGGACTTAGTTCGCATTTCATCCAAGCACTAACAGGGCTGCTGAATGTATGAACGCCATGGTAGAGCAATATTTGAGGTGCTATGTCAACTATCGGCAGACACACTGGCCAGAATAGCTGCCATTTGCTGAGGTAGCATACAACAATGCGGTGCACAGCAGTACCAGCCTGACTCCTTTCCAAGTCACCAGTGGCATAGAATTTGTCCCCATGCCTGAGCTCTCCAGGGAGCCAACCTCCTCCATGTCACCCAAGCCACTTGTAATTGCAGGTCAAACGCATTACGAGGTAAATAACTTAAATGCTTTAGAAATTGGATATCCTTTAAAACTAAATTGCACAAGATAATCCACTCAGTGGGGCTTTCTTATTTGAGGTATCTACTGTATTTTTCTACCCTAAAGGATAATCGTTTATACTAAGAAGAAAAATATATACATAGAAAACCTTTTTTATTTGCTGAAGAATAGGGATAAATGATAAAGACAAGATAATTTTACAAGTCAATCAGTAGTAATAGTAGAATATCAGCTTTACTAAAAACAACTATTTAGATCAGTTCCTTGATAAAGCCTTACATAGTTAATCCTGCTACATGTTTTGTAGCAACACAATCCACCTCTAGTTACAAGCATACTGGACTTCCAAATATTTTTCTACCAAAGCCTGCATTGTGTCAGGATCTTCCCTTTCAAATCAATATAGTTAGCATGAGCATAATCCCAATACATTTCCTCAGCATTTTAAGACAGAACAAGAAGCTTTGCTGAAGTAATATTTACATTCTTAATCCCAAATAAAACGTCTTGCACTCTACAATGGGTATAATGGGTAAAAATGTGAAAGTAATTCTAAGTGCAGAATGCAAAGCCTTCATTTATTAAACTTAAAGCCTGTGTTTCTGCTTCCACATTATACTTTTAGCATTTTGTTTAAGAAAAAGGTGTATACAGCAATTACAGATTGTACAGATTAGTCATCACTTTCTTCTGCATCAAAAGAAAGCAAGCTTTTATTTTTAACTTGCTTAGCTGAATTTTGAAAACTTGGAGAATTCTTCTTTATCTCTTTAATTTTCTTACTTGAAGTAACTGTCAAACCAAAATAGTTTTCTTCTGCTGAACGCTTAGAGGGTTTCCGGTATATAATCTTTCCATCTTCAGGATCAGCTTCTAGAGATAAATACACAAATCATATTTTATATACTTTCTCTTTTTCACTAAAATGATCCTACAGATTACATCAAATATCCTGAGGAATAAAACCTTTCAAAGCATATTTTTACATACAAAATATTCCGATGATATTCTGCATTGCTACATAGAAGTGGGAGAATTTCCACTGCAAATGCTAGAAAGCAGTAATCAGTCGATACAGATGTTTCAGCTACATAAATAAGAGATTTCCTGATTGATAAGCAATCTAAATCCTCAATCTCAGTTCTCTTACTGTGAAGCAAGGAAGGCAATTTTCTTGCAGCCATGGGCTCCACTAAAGTCACAAAAACTATGCTGTAATTAATAATTGTTAAAGTCAAGCTCTTCCAAAGATTCACTTCTGTTGTAAACTTTCAGAAATGCAGACTCTGAATCTATTAAAAAATGAAAATGTATTAGAAAATTATTGCAAGCATCTACAAAAATTGAGTTTACTCCAAACCTATTAGAGCAGAAAAGGATACAGTTATCTTGAATAGTATGCTGATTATTTAAAAAAAATCAAAAATCTTTCTGATCAATTTGATTAGTTACCAAATCTTGGTTACAAATATTCAGATGGCCACAAGATGGCATCCAAATATTCAGAATTGTCAGATCCGTGTATCTGTCATTTCTTCAGTGGAAGAAGAAAAGGGGGGGGGGGGCTGATAAAGAAATCCTTTCTTGATGTAACCTGAATATATTTAATCTTATATCAAATTTGTATAACCCACACATGATACAATGGAGGGAGAAAAGCCAGATGGCCAGAACTATCACCTCTGAGAGGCACAGCCAGGAGATGAGAAGATCATAAAAATTCCTCAGTGAGATGTGTCCTGGGAATCTCTGGAAAACTTCGTTCTAAAAAGGGGGTGGGGGGAAATTAGGTATGCCCTGGGAAACTGTGAAAAGATAGTTCCTTACAAAAGGGGTGGGGAGGAATTAACATACTGGCTTTTATTTCATTTTCATTTTTATTTTTATTTCACTAAATACACATGGAGATAAGGGGAGGGGTTCTAATCTCCCTTATGTATCCCTGTATGCCTGAGAGACCTCAGGCGCTGCTTTGAACTCCTACAGAATTGTCTCATCTCAATAAAGGATTCCTTTTTGATACGTTTTGATAACGTTTTCAGAAGTTCATTCTAGTTGAGTGAATGGGAAAAGTTCTGTAGTCTGACAAGAATGTACTGCATTTCTGTGCTGCTGTCCAGTGGCTGTTCAGACTTTGGGAGTTAAATCTTGTGGGTCTGAACTTGACATATTGTGATTTCCACCCCCAAAAAACAATAAAAATGTATTCAGGAACTAATTTCATCAAACAGGAAGAAAAGGATGAAGGCTGAGTAAATAAAAGATGAACTAATGGCATAAACCTGAAATTCTTTCACCTATGTCAAATTAAACTTGGTGCACACAAGTTAAGGCATCTACTAGATACTGGTTCACAACTACCATTCAATTAAATTATACACTCCTAAAGATATGATGGTTGCTCAGCAATACACGCACACACACACACACCCCACACACAATCAGATGTTCTGAATTCTAATATATGATATTCAATTTCTTGGATCAGCTCATGAGATAGTATTTTGGGATGAAAATACAAGATAAAAATCAGCTGCTGGATTAAAACACCTCAAGTCTTTTTTTTAATATATAGGAAAGCTGCAGCTATAATTCACAAACCAAATTTTACATTGAAACTGCCTGTAATTCGTATGATTTAGAAATAAAACATTATCAAAATCATTACTTTTACTGGGCAACCTATTTATTTTAAACAATAGAACATTTATAAAATTGATTTTGTAATAAAAACTTACTCCAAACCACTCAGTGCATTGGTATCCATATTTAATAATACTGTGTTTTCCAGAAAATAAGACCCAACCAGAAAATAACCCACAGCATGATTTTTAGGTTGCTTGTAATATAAGCCCTACCCCAAAAATAAGCCCCAGTTAAGATCGTCAACCCTGGGGAAGACATGGCCAGCACAGGAGGCAGCGAGTGCACAGAGGCTGACGAAATCTGGCAGCAGTTGCAGCCCACCGGACGCTTTGCCAGCGCACTCTGGGGCTGTGCAGCCTGTGCATCACAGGTGAATCCAAGAGCTACAACCTCAGTCATCTTGTCTGGTTTGTCTGAAAGTTAAGTCATGGCAATTGGATTTTTTTTTTTGAGAGGCATTTTGCTGCCCATCCAAGCAGTTTGTCCAGTCTGAGCAACTTGGTTAGGGTGAGAAGGCAGAATCATTAGAATTCTTTTTTTTAAAAAATGTACCAACTAAGTTGAAGCATAGGTGATTTCTGTAGACTTTTCTTAGTGTAGTTTTTTTATTCCACACACCAGCTTCAGAGTTTCTTCCCCAAAGTACATAGCAGTATGAAGGTGTCATCCAGGTAGGATTATCAGAAAGTGGCAACTAGACTTATTTTCTTGTCTCCAACATACTTTTTTGGGGGGTACTTATGTATTCAATTCACATTTGGTGCTTATTGATTATCCATTCTATTTCTTCTTGCTCTCCTACACATATTCTCTTAATTAACTGAGTTCCACTGCATTCAATTTACAATTATATTTCTATTCAAATAACCAATTCAATTTTCAATTTTCAATAATAAAGTAGACAGAAGCCATTTTTACTTGTCATTTTTTTTACAACAGACCATATTGTATCCACTAATTTTTATAGCATTTTCATATGTTAATTTTTCCATCAATTTCTCAATATTTAGTAAACATTTTATCAAGCTCTTTAAATTTATCTAGTGTCTCTAAGTTTTTACAATTTATATAGAGCCTCCAATCATTCAGTCACTGCATTTTCCCCTATCAGTCATAACTAGCAAGTGTGCAATACACCAATTTTCTGACGCATTGTTTTACAAAACTGTCTTCAATCCCAAATCAACACACTTCTAACATCACTACAACATTCCTTAATGTCTATGGAGATTCTCAGTTATCCAGGTCATGGTTGCCCCTAGGTGCTTTTTTCAAGAGGCATCTGGACCTTCTGGTTTTTCTTTGAAGATGTTTCAACACCAATTTGCACCACTTAGGTGACCCTGATGACACAGATAAACCTCCAGGTGACCTTAACATCTGCTAAAAGAATGCAAGGAGTATAAATCCTTCCATTTCCCACCATTCAGTCACAACTGAAGAAGCTTCTTGGATGAGAAGTGAAATGCCTTCAAAGAAAACCCAGAAAGTCCAATTGCCTCTTGAAAAAAAGCACCTTTGGTACAACATTCCATATATATTTTTATAAATATATTAAATAACCCAAGTGGATATCACAAACCCTTGTCTGTCATCACAAATCACTGATCGACATTAAACTGTTTTCTGAGCATTATATTTAATTTCTTACATTCTTTATTCTCTCATATCCCTAATGATCCATAAGAGAACAATACAAAATTTGTTTTTTTTTTAAAGCAAATTTTATTAATTTCAAAAAACAAACAGATCATCATCAACCATTACATATTTGAACCTTTTTCCATTATAGATTTAACAAGTCAGATAAAACCTTATCTTATACAATACATTTCTATATTATTTCATCTATTTCTTTCTGACTTGATTATCATCACTCTCTTTCTATGTTTCTACAAGGTTTCACCAATACTCTCAAAGACATAAACAAACACAAACATACATATAAAAAATCTTTTAGTAAAGTAACTTGGCCCCAGGTACCTCTCTTTATATGGGCTTTAATTATATTCATGCTCATCTTACAGATCATTACTTATTTTATTTACCATTCTGTATCTTCCATATAAACTTCTCCATACATTTCACTCTTCATAATTCTCTCTTATTCAATCCATCTTAATTTAAATCATTATATTTGTATCTTTTGCCCATCCTTTATTATCCCTCTATCTCATTCCTTATAATGAAAAAAAAAAAAGAATTTCTCCTGAAATCTCTAATCAGAGTATGATGCCTTTCTATCCTCTCCCTAAATTAATTAAATTAACATTTAAAATAACACCTAATACCCAATTTGATTCTGCTTGGTACATTCTATCTACTAATTTTTACTTTTAGTAACAATAAAAACAGAGTAAAAAATCAAAAATGTTTAAATACATAATATCCTCCTAAATACGTAGTTAAATAATAAATCTAAATAATAAATCTTATAGCATTCTCATTGCCTTTCCCTTCAATATTTTATTACATTTTAAAAATCAATCATTATTAAACATTTCAACATTTTAATTTCTTATTAACTCTTAAGCCATTCTAATTTTCTATTTCTAATACGGATGTTACAGTACCATCTTGTGTACCTTGCAGAATCTTTTTTTTAAAAAATTTATGCTTTACCCATTATCCCTAAAAAGGATTCCTCTTTTCCCATCTAATTTTAAAACTTTGTGGCTTTTCTCCGTCTTTCCCCTTTCTTTCTTCCCCCACTAAATCTTCCTCCCCCCCCTTCTTCTAACCTCTGTCTTGCTGGCATCCCTTCTCTGTTGTATTCCCTTTTTCTCTTGTTTGCTATCATTGTATTTATTTTGCATCATATTTTTCTCTTTCTTAAATGTATTTTTAGATCTTAAGTCCTTCATTTTCCTCGCTTTCTTCCTTCCTTCTTTCTTAGATGAATTTTGGGATTCATTGAAGATGGCGTCTTCATCTTCTTCTTGCTGTTCTTCAGCTTCCATCTGTATTGTCTGTTCATAGTTAACCAACGCCATTTTTAAAAAAAGAAAAGCTTTTTCCATACCATCTTTACAGGCTGCTTTTGTTTGCTCATATTCATCCCTCAGTTCCTCCAAAGAAAAAGCCATTATAGATCTTTTCTTTTCTTTTTCCCTCTTTCTTCTCACACCAACCAAAATATTCCAAAAGAAAAACAAGACAACCCCAAAGTCCACAATCCTCAATCAATCCAAGCCAAGCCAAAATTCCCCCTTTCTCTTCCAGGGGTAGTATCAGACAAAGGAAAAAAGAAAGTTCAAGTCTGTGTTTTGAAGCCTTATTAAGATTTTATTTCTGTTTTCAAATCCTTAAGGCATCTCCTCCAACAAAATCCAACCAGATAAATATATTTTTTGTCCTCTCCCTTCCGACTTATCCCAAAAAGCTAGTTTTACCTGAAAAAAAAAACAGGTTTCTCAATATTCATTTATTAATTCCGTCGGGGGGGAGAGTAAACTTTCCTTTCAGCACCTCAGAATTGCCGCTTATTTCCTCTTGTGGAAAGAATCATCCAAAAAGCCATCATTTTCAGGAATTAAATTAAATATATCTTAGAGTCCTGGGTCAACCAAGAAAACTTTCACTTTTTAAAAACTTTCTCTCTTCCTCCAGCGCATACTTGCCCAGCTGCCGGCTTCTTTGTGGCGGCCATTACGGACCGCCGCTGCACCGTCTTGGTAAAAGGAGGTTCTGCCGGCTAGGGAGGGGGTCTGCAGCACCCCCAAACCCTTTCCCGGATCCCCCCTACCTTCAGCTGCCCCTGCAGGGCAGCCTTGCTCCGCACCCTTTTGGGTCGGAGCCCCAAAAACGGCTAGCGCGGCAGGGATCGCGCAGCTTCGCGAATCCCTACCGCTCGCAAAGCCGACAAACCGGAAAATCCGAGAACAATACAAAATTTGTATTGTTCAATCTATGTAACTTTAACTGCAAGTTTGTTAAAAGAATTATTTGACTTTCTTTGACATCATTGGTATATTCATGTCTATATAAATGACACATTAAAAAGGATTTGTGCACCAAAGTTTTCATTAGATTTGTATCTCATGGTTTTCAGACTACCACCTTCAACTACCTAATGATGTCTGCCTAAATAATTGAAATAAAGCATGCTAGAATCCAATCTTTTTTCATCCAATGTTAAAAATCATTTTGCATACAAGTTGACAGACACAATAGCAACTTAGTAAACCTGCCAATTGGTAAACATTGCAGCAGCATTTTGGAATAAATAAAGTATACTTTAATACCTAATGAATAATGTGAAGCATATTTTTTAAGGAAAAAGGGGGGAAGAAAAAACAAGTTTGCAAAGTGAACAAAACTAAAATAAGATAACAATTTGAATTACTAAAAAACATTCTGCCAAGTTTTTCAACTTAGGGATACATTACAATGTCCCATTGGAAGAAGTATTAGTAAAGCTGCAAGAAAAATATATAGAAATTATAAAGAATACAGATAATCCTCAAATTACAACAGCTCATTTAGTAGTCAAAGTCATTGTTCAAAGTCACAACAGCACTGAAAAAAGTGACTTATGAGCATTTTTCACACTTACGACCTTTGTAGCATCCCCATGATCAGATAATCAAAATTCAAATGCTTAGCAACTGGTACATAGTTATGTCTCAAGATCATGTGATCATCTTTTGCAATCTTTTGACAAACAAAAACAATGGGGAACCCAGATTCAACTGTTACCAAGTTATCAACTGCAGGGATTCATTTAACAACTATAAGAAAAGTCGTAAAGTCGTAAAGCTAAAGACAGGTGTAGATGGGACTGTTACCCATAAAGCCAGGTTAGTAGCACAAGGGTTCAATCAGACAGCAAACGACTATGATGAGGTGTTTGCACCTAGTCTGAAGGCTACTACATTATGAGCAGCATTAGTTTGGGCAGCTAAGGTGCTTAGATCTGGCCCATGGGGCCACCCAAAAACAGCGAAGGACCACCCATGGCCCTCCCAAGCTCCATTTTTGCTGGCAGAGGGTCACAGCCAAAAACAGAGCTCGGGAGCCCGTTTTCTCTGGTAGTGTGCTTGGTCCACCACAGGCAGCCCTGACACAAGTGACATCAAACTGTCCACAACCACCCTGTCCACTAAGGTCAAACACAACCCTGTTAGGCCCTCAATGAAATAGAGTTTGACACTCCTGGACTAGAGAGTCATCTGAAATAGTATAGGTTCTGTTGTGGTCTGCCAGCAGCCTGCGGAGACGGTAGCAGAGTCAGATAGTGGGGAGGAACATGGGCTAGTCTGGGAGTCTGGGGAGGACTCAGACAAGGATCCTGCATCTGATACAGAGATGGGGCCAGGGCCATGTGGGGGTTATGTGCTGACTCCGGAGCCTCCAGAATTTGACAGCAGCAAGGCAGAGGAACAAGGGAAGCCTGTTCCCAGTGTGCTTGTGCGCAGAGCTGCCAAAAGGCAAGAACAGTCAAGACAAAAGGGGTGACTCAGGAGTAAGGCTTGGAGGTGATTGGCCCTCCCATAAGACATAAAGGGACAGGAACCTTTGCAGGAAGCAACTTTGTTCGTATTGGTTGGTTTAAAAACTGAAGCTCTGTGTTGAATTTGTGCTCCGTTTGGCCTTGTATAACTAATTGGAAATTTAGTTGTTGGCAGCATTTCAAGGAAGATAAAGGTGTGTGCTTATCAGACTTATCTTGAAGGACTTTGTCAGACTACCATGGAACTATTTACAAACTGTTGGAGACTCATTACGGGCTGTGAATGAATAAAATTCACAGCCTTTGAAATAAAAGGGTTTTGGACTAACGTGTGTTTGTTAGTGTCTCAATAAGCCTTGGTCAGAACAGATTTTCCTGCTTGAACAGGGGGCTGGACTAGAAGACTTCCAGAGTCCCTTCCAGTTTTGTTCTATTCTATTCTAAAAATAAGATAGCAATTCTCTTCAGGATTCAAGTGTGAGTCTTGTAAAAAAAGGAAACACTACATTAATTTAAATAATCTTATTTTAGAAGTTAGTTTTGCTCTCAGATTATTTTACAAACACAAATGATTATTTATGCTTGTAAAATAATCATATAACAGCTAAACACAGTTCCATTAAAAAAATCTGTTCTACTTTTTCCCAAAGTGTGATTAAAAAGATTTAATTACCTGAACTTAAAAGTTCTTAAAAGTAATACATACAATATTTGGCTGGAAAAAGAGTGTAAGAATTTGTCTTCTTCGAAACAAGAAGACTGTGTCAGCTATCTGTCCCCCCAACTTAGCTATCTCAAACCAGTGACTCAGTCATGACTTCGTTGGTCATATAAATGGGGATTATAAGGAAATTGGTCAGCATTGTATAAAAGGAAGTTAACAAATAAGGATACCCTACAAAAAGGCACTTCAAAATACTTTTACTCTAATTATAATTCAACAGCTGATCAAATAAATCCTGTTTCTCAGCAACTTTGTAGCAAGTAGAATTTCCTGGTTTTCTTAATTATAATTTTTGCAATCAAAAAGCTTGCAAAACCTAGTGGATAGCTATTTAAAAAAAAACTTCAGACACCTGAAAAGGGTGTAAAACTAAATTAGTGGGTTGACTCTTGCTGCAGCAACACTGCATTCTGCCTTTTCCTAGAGGACAAATGGTGCAATAATTAATAATTTCACAATATACCTGTGACCTCTTTGATCTCCTTTTTGACCTTTGCAACTTCTTCTGCAGTTAGATCTCCTTTTTTCAGAACAATCACCTGTGGTTGTTCATCTTCTTTATCACTTCCACTGTCATCTTCAGGAGCTGGAAGCTGTTCTCTCTGGAAAAGACGTTAAGTATCAATGTATACAAATAGGTTACCCTTGAAAAAAGAAACTTTAAATATAGGAAAGAAAGTTGAGTAGGAAATGGTTGCACTAACAAGGTGAGGTTAACCTCCTTTTCCAGAAGTTTTCTGAGTCTTCATATTGTGACCCTATCTCCTATTTTGGAGAAATACTTAGAAAATTTTGATATCATCTGTCTGTGAGGGCAGGGGGCAGCTCCAGAAAAATAAGGAAAAAGTTATTTCCACAGCAGAAGAAAAAAGATATTTTTAGCACAGAAACTTGCCTAAACTTACTACTTCTAAAAATCCAAATTTTAATCAAAGGCCTTTTCCAGAAATGTTTCACGGCTTCTTTCCTTTTTTCCTCCTTTTCCAGTTTTGCCTTCAATCATATACCGTGTTTCTCATATAATAAGGCTGGGTCTTATTTTTTTTTGAGCCCCGAAAAAATGGCTAGGCCGTCTTTTCAGGGGTGACTTAATTCCCCCCCCCTTGCATCTTCGGGCGGGCGGCGACAGCTTGGATGTTGACCTCGGCGTTGGTGGGGCACTTCGTATCAGGGTCAACACAGGCAGCACCATATCCGGGTGTGCAACAAAAGTACTTCCTAACAGCAAGCCCCCCCACCATTCCCCCCCCATTTCGCATGTTTTAATATAGGCCTTAATTTGGGGGGAGGGGCTTAATTTCATTTCATGCCTATAAAACATGCTGGGACTTCCTATTGGGGGAGGCCGTATTGTTGGAGAAACAGGGTATATCTACATAGGTGTTTTACCATACTTCTCCTATCCCAAAACCAATAGAAAATCATACTGTTATAAATTTTCTATACCATTATAAAGGATGGGACTAGAATATCTCTAAGTGGCAAAAAGCTGTGACTCCTTGTGGAAACTTGATCCTAAACTTGTAGCTTGACAAGAGAATGTATAATGGGAATGTAGTTAGAAAACTACAGTTAATTTATTATCACAATTGAGCTCAGAATCTCAGTTGTTATGCAGTCATTAAATGAGATGTCACAACTGCTTCAGATAACAGGTAATCAGAGTTGAAAGGGACCTTGTAGGTCATCTAGTCCAGCCCCCTGCCCATGCAGGAGACCCTACATCATTTCTGACAAATGGCAGTCCAATCTCTTCTTGAAAGTCTCAAGTGATGATGCTCCTACAACTTCCAAGGGCAAGCTGTTCCATTGGTTGATTGTTCTCACTGTCAGAAAGTTTTTTCTTAGTAACCACAATTCCAGCGCTCCAGGTTGCAGTTATTTGAATGTGGTCATTGAGCAAGCAGTAGCCTATTTAAGGAGGAAGTGGTGACTGGAAGGTTGGGAGCCCAGGTAGTTTTATTCAGGAGTTGAAACTATTTTCAGCTTCTCACAGGGAAACACTTGCATGATATGTGCTGGATTTTTCGGGCCTCCCTCACTTACCCGAGGTACCCACATTTCTTGTTTAGCATGCTGCCTCTCCACATTCTGCTTGACTTTCATATCCGTTTCTTTTCCAGGGGCTGGCTGAAAATGAGATGTCTGGCAAAGGAATTCAGCTTCCTTCTTTACGTGGAAAGGAAAACCTCTGGCAGAGTGCAAAAACAGAATTCAAATTATGATATCTGTTTTTGCACTTCACCAAAAGTATTCCTCCACAACTCAGAAAGGAACTTGTTCGGAAGGCCATAGAAACAGACCACAAATCATCAGGATCTCAATTTTGTTTTTCCACCCTTGGGAGGATATCAAGTCCCCCCGAGTCAAGAGCTCAGATTTTGAAGATTTGAATTCCATTTCTGCACTCCACTGATGGAGTGACATCCTCCTGCAGAGTGGAAAAACATTTCAGATCCTGATGATGTGATCAGGGCAAGGCAGGGCAGGTTTCCTCCATTTTTTGCCAGTTTCTCATGTGGAAATTCAATGGAGAGACCAATACAAATTAGAACATCACTTCCACTTCCATTGATTTTTTGACCATTGTGATTATTCTGCCTGTTCAGTTAAGTGAAATGATCACCTAACAGTTACTGTCTAGTACAGAGGTCACCAATCGGTTGGCTGAATCCACCACTGGCTGGCCCCGCCCCTTGCCCTCCCCATCACTCGCCTGGCCTGAGAAGGGAAGGGTGGGGGATGGAGATTTGCTCCATATTCCAGAGCAGGAGGAAAGCTTCATCTCTTGCTCTGTCTCGTTGTTGGTGCTTCGCACACCTCAGTTGCATGGGGAGATATGTGACTTCCTCTCAGCCCCAAGACACTGACTCAACCCAGCTGTTTCTCTTCACCATTGCTGTTGGTGCCTCCATGGCCTGCCCACTGCTCTTGCAGCACAGTTAAATTTAGTGCACTTCACAATGGGAGAGATGGCATCCCCTCCTCCTCCTGAAGCCCATTATGATGCAGAGCATTGGCTGCAGCCGGGTCAGACAAGTGTCTCGGGGCGGAGAGCAGGTCATGCATCTCCCCGAGCGACTCAGATACGCCCAGCACCAACAAAGGCCGAAGAAGCACCCGCAAGACCCAGAAAGTGCCAGAGAATCAGAATGAGAGAGGAGAAAGAGAGAGAGAGAGAGAGAGGAGAGAGATAGAATGAGAGAGAGAGATGACAGAGAGACAAAGAAAGAGAGAGATGAGAGAAAGAGAGAATCAGAGAAAGAGAGAAAGAGATGAAAGAGAGAGACAGAGAGACAGAGGGGGAGAGATGAGAGAGAGGATACAGAGAGAGAGATGAGAGAGATTCAGAGAGAGAGCAAGAAAGAGATAGAGATGTGTGTGAGAAAGAGGGAGGGTGGGGGAGAGAGAGAGATCCCAGTGTTTTGTTTTCTGTGAGAAACTGGTCCAAATTACTCTTTGAGCCTTTAAGGTTGCAGAAACAGGCAGCCAAATTAAGTGCCCGAAGGACCCCATCCCATCACTGGGAGTCCAGGAGCTTCAGCAAGTGGCACGCTGGATTTATATTAGTGGTCCGTGAGATTTAAAATTATGAACATACAACCCTTAGTCCCTGAGGTCCAAAAGGTTGGTGACCCCTGTTCTAGTAACTGCCAAAAATTCCCAGAACTGTATCACTGTTGTCTATTTCATTCGTCTTGACTTTAAGTAGTACTTTTTCATATCATGTATTCTGCAAGTAAGAATACATCAAACCACTGCTAAAACAAAACAATCATTGGATTTTTTTTCCATTTTGCTTTGCTGACTCAGAAAATTCAGCTAGCGCTTGCCATTCCTTTCTCGCAGCCCTGGTGAGGGAGCTAGCACTTTCCACCTCATGCTGAACTAGGCACGCATGCCCCTAACTACCTCTATTCCAACCACAACTGGCCTTAAATGCAAGCTACTCAATGCAAGAAGCCTTGTAAATAAAATACGTGAATTTCTCCTCTTCCTAAATACGGCTAAATTCAACATTATATTTTTCTGTGAAACATGGCTCAATGCATCTCTCCCTGACTCCATTACCACAGTAAGAGACTATCATGTTTACCGATCAGATCATGAAATCCGTAGAGGAGGTGCTGCTGCTATCTTCTATAAAAAGTCCCTACATCTAAAAAACAACCAAGTTACCCAGGAGCTTGCTCTTCCTGAGACAATTGCCTGTGAACTATCCTTAAATATCACATTTCAGTTCTTACTATGTTAAACAAGCTAAACACACTACTAACATGGGCAGCATCCTGCCCACACGCTTTTATCTTTCTTGGTGACTTCAATCTACCTCATATTAACTGGACCCTTAACAAATGTACAACTGAACCATCACATGCAACCTTCTACAATGCAGTAACAAATCTGGGACTAGAACAACTAGTAACCAACAACACTAGACTTAATAACTGCCTCAATCTCATCTTCTGCAATAGTTTGAATTCAATTTACGGAATACAAATTAAAGAACCCTTTTCCAACAGTGACCACAATATGATTGACTTTTGTCTCAACATACGTCCACACAAAAATCATCACAACAATGGAATCCCCAATTATAACTTCAAAAAAGGCAAATATGATCTTATAAACAACGATCTCTCATCCCTTGATTGGCAATTTCTATTCTCTGGATGCAATACTGTAGAAGACCATTACAACATACTTTTACTTGAAGTCAAAAGAGTCATCAAACTATATGTACCATTAACAACTCCCAAAACCAGAAAAAACAAATTACCAATAACAATAAGGAAGCTTCAATCCAAAAAGAAATCACTTTGGCGGAAAAACAAATCTGGTCACGTTGACAACTTCAAAAGCCGATACAAAAATTTATGCCACCAGATAAAAACTGAATGCACCAATTATCACATTAAACAAGAGGAAAACCTTCTATGCACCAATTCCACCCACGCTGTCTACAATTTTGTAAACAACAAACTAAAAGACTAAAAGTCCATCCCATCCCTGAAAGGACCTAATGGTAAAGACTGCAACGACGACACTATTAAAGCCAACCTCTTTAACACATTCTTTGGTTCAGTAAACAGCAATGGATCATGCCCAGTATTTCCTAGTCGAACCACAGACAACTACAATGATCTAAACATATTGATTTTACAGAAGACAATGTTGAAAAAGCACTACGCAATCTAAAACCATCTCTATCTATTGGACCTGACGGAATATGTGCCTACTTCTTTAAAAAGCTACCCACTGCCATAGCCGAACCTCTAAGCATAATCTTTGAAAAATCTTTCAGGACCAGCTCCTTGCCAAAACTATGGTCACAAGCCACGGTCATTCCACATCTTCAAAAAGGGAGACCCCAGCCTAGTTGAAAATTGCAGACCAATCTCTTTATCCTGCATCACCTGTAAAGTAATGGAATCAGTTATTAACCAATCCATCATCCTCCACTTTGAAACAAGCAACCTACTCTCTAATAAACAATTTGGTTTCAGGAAAAAACTATTATGTAATCTGCAACTCTTACACTGCAAAAACATATGGACTACACCAGTGGTCCCCAACCTTTTTTGTACCAGGGACTAGTTTCAAGCACAAACACTTTTTCAAGGACCGGGGGCGGGGGGGGGGGGGG